AAGTATTGGCTAAGAAAATAGAAGGGTGAAAATTTTTAATAGTATCCCGAGTAATCAAGTATAAATAAGAAAAGAAAATTAAAAGTTATGTTAAAAGTATCGGTAACTCATAAGGTATTGTAAAGTATAGATACGAGAATGGAAGGTTTTACGTAAAAATAAACGATATACAGGGTAGAGAAAGGTATAAATAAGGAAATGAAAGGTTAACTTTGAAGATACCGATGAAGCTGTAGATGAAAGTAGATGACTGGGTAGAGTAAGCCATTACTAAGTAAATAAAAAAATGAAAGATATTAATAGTTTACTGGGTAGAGTAAGGTATAAATGAGAAAAAGAATGGGGAATGGTATTAGCAATTCATTGGGTGTAGTGAAGTATGAATGAGAGAAGAGAAAGTATATGATACACAGGGTAGAATAGAGGTATAAATAAGGAAACGCGAGGTTAAGTTGAATGTACTAATGATGCAGTGAGGAGATTAAAAAAAGATTAAGTTGGGTAAAGTAACGTAAAATAGGGAAAATTAGAGATTAAATGAAAGGTATGGATGACACGAATGATAAAGATAGGTATAAATAAGCAAGTTATAGGTAAAGTGAAAGGTATGGATAAAAAAGAGAAAGATAGGTATAGATAAGCAAATTAAAGATTAAATGAAAGGTATGGATAGCACATATGGTAAAGATGGGTATAATTAAGCAAGTTAAAGGTGAAATGAAAGGTATGGATAAAAAGAGAAAGAAAGGTATATATATGTATATCTAAATTAAAGGTGAAGTGAAAGGTATGGATGATAAATGATAAATAAGCATATTGAAAGTGAAGTGACGGGTATGGATGATACAAATGGTCAAGATAGGTATAAAGAAAGAAAATTAAAGATGAAGTGACAGGAATGGGCGACAGAAGTGATAAATATAGGTATAAATAAGGAAATTAAAAGTTAAGGGTATGAATGATAATACACAAAAGGACGAAACAGGAAAAAAGTAAAAAATAAGAAAATGATATGGAAAGTTGAATATAAGGAATGGATGACGCACTGGGTAGAGTGAGAAAAATTAAACAGACGGGTAAATGAAAGGTATGGCTGTCAGACAGATAAAAGAAAGGTAAAACTAAGAAAAGATAAAGGACATTCTGAGTAAAGGAAAACTGAGAATAAGAAAAGTAAGGTGAAAGGTATGTATGGCAGTAGATAGAATAAGCAAAATAAGGAAATGAAAGGCTTGGTGAAAGGTACAGATGACAAATAAATTGAAAGGTTTAATGAAAGGTACAAGTAAAAATTAAGAAAATGAAAGGTTTAATTAAAGGTACAGATGAAAATTAAGAAAATGAAAGGTTTNAAAATGAAAGGTTTAATGAAAGGTACAGATGAAAATTAAGAAAATGAAAGGTTTAAGGAAAGGTGCAGATGAATAATATGAAAATGAAAGGTTTAATGAAAGCTTCATATAAAAAAAATGAAAGGTTTGCGAAAGTACAGATGAAAATTAAGAAAATGAAAGGTTTAGTGAAAGGTACAGATGATGAATTGGGTACAAAAAGGCAAATGAAAGGATAGCTTACTTAAGAGAGTAAAAAAAGAAGAAAAAAGAGAAATGAACTGGTAGAATGAGGGAAAAAAGAAAATGAAAAAGTTGACATAATGGACAGAATAAGGTCAAAGGAAATTAAAGGGATGAAAGGTAACTTAATGTTAAAATGAGAGACTGAAGATCATGTGAAAATACGAATGGAATACTGGATAGAGTAAAGAATGAATAAGAAAAGTTAAAAAGTATGAATGAAAACATGTCTTCAGTCAAAGGTAGTGGTGACACATTTGATAAATTTATGAAAAACAAAAATCTATTTTAGAGGAAAGATATGATGACACACTGGGTAGAGTAAGGTATTGGCTAAGAAAAATAAAAGGGTGAATGAAAGATTTTAATAGTATCCCGAAATAATCAAGTATATATAGAAAAAGGAAATTTAAAAAGTTATGTTAAAAGTATCGGTAACTCATAAGGTTTTGTAAAGTATAGATAAGAGAATGGAAGGTTTTACGTAAAAATAAACGATATACAGGGTAGAGAAAGGTATAAATAAGGAAATTAAAGGTTAACTTTGAAGATACCGATGAAGCTGTAGATGAAAGTAGATGACTGGGTAGAGTAAGCCATTACTAAGTAAATAAAAAATGAAAGATTTTAATAGGTTACTGGGTAGAGTAAGGTATAAATGAGAAAAAGAATGGTGAATGGTATTAGCAATTCATTGGGTATAGTGAAGTATGAATGAGAGAATAGAAAGTAAATGATACACAGGGTAGAGTAGAGGTATAAATAAGGAAACGAGAGTTAAGTTGAAGGTACGAATGATGTAGTGAGGAAAAAAAGTGAAACGTATGGATTTTACGTTGGGTAAAGTAACGTAAAATAAGGAAAATTAGAGGTTAAATGAAAGGTATGAATGACACGAATGATACAGATAAGTATAAATAAGCAAGTTAAAGGTGAAATGAAAGGTATGTAAAAAAAAAGATTAAATGAAAGGTATGGATGACATGAATGATAAAGATGGGTATAAATAAGAAATTTAAAGATTAAATAAAAGGTATGGATAACACAAATGGTAAAGATGAGAATAAATAAGAAAATTAAAGATTAAATGAAAGGTATTGATAAAAAAGAGAAAGAAAGGTATACATAAGAAAATTAAAGGTGAAGTGAAAGGTATGGATGACACAAATGATAAAGACAGGTATAAATAAGCAAATTAAAAGTGAAGTGACAGGTATGGGTGACACGAATGGTCAAAAATAGGTATAAAAACAAAAACAAATTAATGGTGAAGGTAAAGGTATGGATGATATAATAAAGCAAGGGCGAAACAGGAACAAAAGTGTTGATTGCGGCGCACCAGTTGTAGTGTAAAAAATAAGAAAGTGTTTTGGAAAGTCGAATATAAGGTATGGATGACACACTGGGAAGAGTAAAGAAAATTAAAAGGACAGTTAAATGAAAGGTATGGCTGTCAGACAGATTAAAGAAAGGTAAAACTAAGAAAAGATAAAGGTAGGTGAAAGGATTGGATGACAGGCTTGACATGGCAAAGAAAAAGTTTTTGGTGAGATATACTGGGTAAAGGAAAACTGAGAATATGAAAGGTCAGGTGAAAGGTATATATGTATGAGAAATGAGAAAATGAAAGGTTTAGTGAAAGGTACAGATGAAAAATAAGAAAATGAAAGGTTTAGTGAAAGGTACAGATGAAAATTGAGAAAATGAAAGATTTAATGAAAGGTACAGATGGAAATTAAGAAAACGAAAGGTTTAATGAAAGGTACAGATGAAAAACAAGAAAATGAAAGGTTTTGTGAAAGGTACAGATGAAAATTAAGAAAATGAAAGGTTTAATGAAAGGTACAGATGAAAAACAAGAAAATGAAAGGTTTAGTGAAAGGTACAGATAAGAAAATGAAAGGTACAGATGAGATATAAGAAAATGAAAGGTTTAATGAAAGGTACAGATGAAAATTAAGAAAATGAAAGGTTTAGTGAAAGGTACAGATGAGATATAAGAAAATGAAAGGTTTAATGAAAGGTACAGATAAGAAAATGAAAGGTACAGATGAGATATAAGAAAATGAAATGTTTAATGAAAGTACAGATAAGAAATGAAAGGTACAGATGAGATATAAGAAAATGAAAGGTTTAATGAAAGGTACAGATGAAAATTAAGAAAATGAAAGGTTTAGTGAAAGGTACAGATGAGATATAAGAAAATGAAAGGTTTAATGAAAGGTACAGATGAAAATTAAGAAAATGAAAGGTTTAATGAAAGGTACAGATGAAAATTAAGAAAATGAAAGGTTTAATGAAAGGTACAGATGAGATATAAGGAAATGAAAGGTTTAATGAAAGGTACAGATGAAAATTAAGAAAATGAAAGGTTTAATGAAAGGTACAGATGAAAATTAAGAAAATGAAAGGTTTAATGAAAGGTACAGATGAAAATTAAGAAAATGAAAGGTTTAATGAAAGGTACAGATGAAAATTAAGAAAATGAAAGGTTTAGTGAAAGGTACAGATGAGATATAAGAAAATGAAAGGTTTAATGAAAGGTACAGATGAAAATTAAGAAAATAAAAGGTTTAGTGAAAGGTACAGATGATGAATTGGGTACAAAAAGGCAAATGAAAGGATAGCTTACTTAAGAGAGTAAAAAAAAAAAAAAAAAAAAAAAAAAAAAAAAAAAAAAAAAAAAAAAAAAAGAGAGAAAGCTACCAGGTAGAATGTGGGAAAAAGAAAATGAAAAGTTGACAAAATGGACAGAATAAGGTCAAAGAAAAATTAAAGGGATGAAAGGTAATTTAATGTTGAAATGAGAGATTGAAGATCATGTGAAAATACGAATGGAATACTAGATAGAGTAAAGAATGAATAAGAAGAGTTAAAAGTATGGATGAAAATGTGTCTTTGCGTGAAAGGGAGTGGTGACACATTTGATAAATTTATGAAAAAATAAAATACCTATTTTAGAGAAAAGATATGGATGACACACTGGGTAGAGTAAGGTATTGGCTAAGAAAATAAAAGGGTGAATGAAAGATTTTAATAGTATCCCGAGTAATCAAATATAAATAGAAAACGGAAATTAAAAGTTATGTGAAAAGTATTGGTAACTCATAAGGTATTGCAAAGTATAGATGAGAGAATGGAAGGTTTTGCGTATAAATAACCGATACACAGGGAAGAGAAAGGTATAAATAAGGAAATTAAAGGTTAACTTTGAAGATATCGATGAAGCTGTAGATGAAAGTAGATGACCGAGTAGAGTAAGTCATTACTAAGTAAATAAAAAATGAAAGATATTAATAGGTTACTGGATAGAGTAAGGTATAAATCAGAAAAAGAATGGGGAATGGTATTAACAATTCATTGGGTATAGTGAAGTATGAATGAGAGAATAGAAAGTATATGATACACAGGGTAGAATAGAGGTATAAATGAGGAAACGAGAGGTTAAGTTGAAGGTACTATTAATTCAGTGAGGAGAAAAAAAAAAATTAAACGTATGGATATGAAGTTGGGTAAAGTAACGTAAAACAAGGAAAATTGGAGGTTAAATGAAAGGTATGGATGACACGAATAATAAAGATAGGTAAGGAAGATAAATAGGTAAGAATAATAAAGATAGATAAGCATATTAAAGATTAAATGAAAGGTATGGATGACACGAATGGTATAGATGGGTATATATAAGAATATTAAAGGTGAAGTGAAAGGTATGAATAGAAAAAGAGAAAGAAAGGTATACATAAGAAAATTAAAGGTGAAGTGAAAGGTATGGATGACACAAATGATAAAGACAGGTATAAATAAGTAAATTAAAAGTGAAGTGACAGGTATGGGTGACATGAATGGTTAAAATAGGTATAAAACAAACAAATTAAAGGTAAAGGTAAAGGTATGGATGATATAATAAAGCAAGGGCGAAACAGGAACAAAAGTGTTGATTACGACGCACCAGTTGTAGTGTAAAAAATAAGAAAGTGATATGGAAAGTTGAATGTAAGGTATGGATGACACACTGGGAAGAGTGAGGAAAATTAAACAAACAGTTAAATGAAAGGTATGGCTGTCAGACAGATTAAAGAAGGTAAAACTAAGAAAAGATAAAGGTAGGTAAAAGGATTGGATGACAGGCTTGACACGGTAAAGAAAAAATAGAGTTTTTGGTGAGACATTCTGAGTAAAAGAAAACTGAGAATATGAAAGATCAGGTGAAAGGTATGTATGGTAGTGGATAAATAAACAAAAATAAGAAAATGAAAGGTTTAATGAAAGGTATAGATGGCAAATAAGAAAATGAAAGATTTAATGAAAGGTACAGATGAAAAAGAAGAAAATGAAAGGTTTAGTGAAAGGTACAGATGAGAAATAAGAAAATGAAAGGTTTAATGAAAGGTACAGATGAGAAATGAGAAAATGAAAGGTTTAGTGAAAGGTACAGATGGAAAATAAGGAAATGAAAGGTTTAATGAAAGGACAGATGAAAATGAGAAAATGAAAGGTTAATGAAAGGTACAGATGAAAAAGAAGAAAATGAAAGGTTAATGAAAGGCAACAGAGGAAAATATGAAATGAAAGGTTTAATGAAAGGTACAGATGAAAATTAAGAAAATGAAAGGTTTAATGAAAGGCACAGATGAAAATATGAAAATGAAAGGTGATTGAAAAATATGAAATGAAGGTGATGAAAATATGAAAATGAAAGGTTTAGTGAAAGTACAGATGAAAATTTAAAAAAATGAAAGGTTTAATGAAAGGTACAGATGAAAAATAAGAAAATGAAAGGTTTAATGAAAGGTACAGATGAAAAATAAGAAAATGAAAGGTTTAATGAAAGGTACAGATGAAAAATAAGAAAATGAAAGGTTTAATGAAAAGTAATTAAGGGATGAAGTAACTTAATGTTGAAATGAGAGACTGAAGATCATGTGAAAATACGAATGGACACTGGGTAGAGTAAGAAATGAATAAGAAAAAAAAAAAATAAAAAAGTATGGAATGAAACGTGTTTAAGTGAAAAGGTACTAGTGACACATCTGATAAATTTATAAAAAAGATATCTATTTTAGATTAAAGAATATGGATGACACACTGGGTAGAGTAAAGAATGAACAAGAAGAGTTAAGATAAAGATATACATGACATGCTTGGGCAGGTTGAAACACTTGGAAGAGTAGAATAGTTACGTCGAAGGTATGTAGATCGCTCTGGGTAGAATAAAGGGAAAAACGAAGATAGAGAAATGTAAGTGAAAGATATTGGCCCTAGGTAGAATATGAAAGAAAAAAGGAAAGATTATTTGAAAGATATTGGTTTTAGTTGGAATAAGAAAAAACACGAAAGATATTGGCCATAGGTAAAATAAGGGAGATTGAAGAACAGCTAAGAGTAAGGATGATATTGGCTTCTTGGCAGAATGATTAAACTAGAAAGATTAAGTGAGAGATATTGGCTATAGGTAGTACAAAGAGAAAGAAAAAAGTGACATATTGGAAGAAAAAATTAAGGGAAAGATATTGGCTCCAGGTAGAAAAGAGAGATAGAAAAAAGGAAAGATTATTTGAAAGANACATAGACTAGCCTCACGAGCGACGAGCGAGAGCCAAATTCCACCAGGATGTACTACATCTACACACTCCTCTCATCTCCTCGATCTTCATCAAAAGAAAAAACTATATATCAACTCAGCGTTCTCTCTCCTCCAATCTTCATAAACTCTAATAAGCGTCTCAAAATCTCGCCTAATACATAGTATCTAATCCTATCTCACCTCTTACTCCATTCTTACTCTCTGCATTAAATAAAACAAATATAACACACACGCTCACGTGCAAATCTTCATAAAATTCACCAATAATATAAAACAACAACATCACAACAAATACAGTCTGCATCTTTTCACTTCACCTCCTGCACATGCGCTGACTTCCCTCTGACCCTCTCTAACTACACCCACCGGCACCATACGACGGTCACGGTCCTAACCCATCATCAACACAAGGCGAGTCGTCTTCTCTAATTCCCCTCTCCCTCTCTCTCTCCTCTCTCTCTCTCACTCGCGTTCTCACAGTTTACCATCTCGGATCCTAGCACGAATTATCCTTATCGCTGCGCTCGTGGGCGTGGGCGGGCGGGACATCCGGAGGGAGGGAGGGAGGGAGATGGGAGCGGAGGGAGGGTGGAGGGAGGGGAAGTCGTGCAAGGGGAAGGAAGAGGAGTGCGGGAGAGAGAGGGAGAAGGGACGATCGGCGAACATGTACGGACGTAGCAACAGAAGGCACGAGGAGAGTGGGAGCACGGAGTGGCTGGGAGAGGAGAGAGAGAGAGAGAGAGAGACGAGCAGGACAAGAGTAGGAGAGCACAGAGAGAGAAGAGAGAAGAGGGAGACGAAGAGAAGAGAGAGAGAGAGAGAAGAGAGAAAGAGAGAAGAGAGAAAGAAGAGAAAGAAAAGAAAGAAAGAAAGAAGAAAAGAGAGAGAGAGGAGAGAACGAAGAGAAAGAGAAAAAGAGAAAGAGAAAAGAGAAGAGAGAGAGAGAGAGAGAGAGAGAGAGAGAGAGAGAGAGAGAGAAAGAAAGAAAGAAAGAAAAGAAAGAAAGAAAGAAAGAAAGAAGAAAGAGAAAGAAAGAAAAGAAAAAAAAAGAAAAAGAAAAGAGAACGAGAGAAAAGATGAAGAGAGGAAGAGAGAAGAAGAGAAAGAGAGAGAGAGAGAGAGAACGAGAGAACGAGAGAAGGGAGAGAGAGAGAGTTCGCGGATGGTCGCGGGTCCTGGGAAAGCCCAGCGGTTCGAGTCGGTGGGAAAGACGACTGTCTCTGGTTCGGAATTCTTTCTTTCTTTTTTTTTTTATAATTCTCCTTCTCCCTCCATCCCCCTTATCCCTTTCCCGCTCCTTCTTCCTCTACTTTCCCACTCCTTCTCCTTCCCATTTCCCTTCTCCTTCTCCCTTTACTTCGTCTCTTTCTCCTCGTTCTCATTTTCCTTCTCCTACTCCCTCTACTTCTTTCTCTTCCTTCTCCTTCCCATTTTCCTTCTCCCTCGACTTCTTCTTCTTCTTCTTCTTCTTCTTCTTCTTCTTCTTCTTCTTCTTCTTCTTTCTTCTCTTCTTCCTTCTTCTTCTTCCTTCTCCTTCTCTTCTCCTTCTCCTTCTCCTTTCTCCTTCCCTTCTCCTTCTCCTTCTCCTTCTCCTTCTCCTTCCTCCTCCCCAAGTTAGCAACGTCCCCCCTCCATCTCCAGCTTCACTGACAACCCCCACGCCGCCGTGTCCACGCAACATAACGTAAGAGCAGCAGCCATCCAGCGGTTTCGTCAGCGGTCCGTTTTCAAAGCGTTTCTCCCACTGGTCAACATCGCCTATTGTCTTTCCCGGCGAGGTAAACAGACCCCCCCACACCAAGCAGAGACAAGCAGTGACTCCAAGCAGCAGCCAAGAGACAAGCAGTGACTCCAAGCAGCCAGCAGAGACAAGCAGTGACTCCCAAGCAGCAGCAGAGACAAGCAGTGACTCCCAAGCAGCCAGCAGAGACAAGCAGTGACTCCACAGCCAGCAGAGACAAGCAGTGACTCCAAGCAAGCAGAGACAAGCAGTGACTCCAAGCAGCCAGCAGAGACAAGCAGTGACTCCAAGCAGCCAGCAGAGACAAGCAGTGACTCCAAGCAGCCAGCAGAGACAAGCAGTGGACTCAAGCAAGAGCCAAGCAGTGACTCCAAGCAGCAGCAGAGACAAGCAGTGACTCCAAGCAGCCAGCAAGAGACAAGCAGTGACTCCAAGCAGCAGCAGAGACAAGCAGTGACTCCAGCTGACTCCAAGCAGCCAGCAGAGACAAGCAGGACTCCAAGCAGCCAGCAGAGACAAGCAGTGACTCCAAGCAGCCAGCAGAGACAAGCAGTGACTCCAAGCAGCCAGCAGAGACAAGCAGTGACTCCAAGCAGCCAGCAGAGACAAGCAGTGACTCCAAGCAGCCAGCAGAGACAAGCAGTGACTCCAAGTGACAAGCAGCATGACTCCAAGCAGAGCAAGCAAGCAGTGACTCCAAGCAGCCAGCAGAGACAAGCAGTGACTCCAAGCAGCCAGCAGAGACAAGCAGTGACTCCAAGCAGCCAGCAGAGACAAGCAGTGACTCCTTGATATAACATTACATCGGTGACTTTTAATTAAACTGTTAAACATCAAAACCCACAGCGAGTTTGAAGGATTTATTCGCTCTATTCTTAGATCCCCCTTCGGAGTCCTCCTGCGAGGGTCCAAGAGGCCGCGACCCACTGTCCTTTTGCAGCAGGTCACGACCCTTCCCCGGACCCACCTGGACTCACCTGCACCCACCTGGAACCCACCGTAAAGAGCAGCTGCCAACCTCGCCCGGCCCACGGAGGCAGCGGCCATGGCTACCTCGGTTAAAATGTTTTCCTGGAAAGTTAAACGAAGCCTGGAATAGAACAGGCTGTACTCGGCGCTTAACTAGTCTATTCAGGAGGCGTCCCGAGGTGGGGGAGGGGGGGGGGGAAAGGGGTGGAGGGGGAGGGGAAAGGGGGGAGGGGAGGAGAAAGGGGGTGGTGGGGAGGGGGAAAGGGGTGGGGGGGGAGGGAAAAGAGGGTGGTAGGGGAAAGGGGAAAGGGGGTGGAGGGGGAGGGAAAAAGGGGGTGGAGGAGAGAGGGAAAAGGAGGGAGAGCGGGGAGGGGGAAGGGGAGTAAAATTTACATATACTTACCTCCGCTTAACTGTGACAGCGGGAGCTTATGAATAGAAACGTAAACAAAAAAAAAAACAAAAAACAAAAAAAAACTACCGAGTTGTTTATTTTATGTATTCCGTCGTTTATCCCGTTTCGTCCGCCCTTGCAACGCGTCCCTGGTATCTGGTGTAGGAATTTCGCCCTTATTGTACGCCTCGTTAAGGTCGGTCGGCTTTAATCGCTTTGCATTCGAGGTGTAAATTCCTCTTTGTTTCTATCCTTATTTGGGTTTCTCCTTTCTCCTATTTTTCGTTATTCTTTGTCTTTATTCCGTGTTATAATCGTTCTTTTATTTCTCTTCTTATCCCATTGCTCTTTTCTCTTCTATCTTTTCCTCATCTTCCTCTCCAATCTAATCTTTTTCCTTGCTCTTTCTCTCATTTCCTATCTTATGCTCCTCTTATTCTTTGCTATGTTATCCTCCTCCTCTACTTTCTCTTTCTCCTGTTGCTCAATCTCCTTTCCCTCCTCCTTCTAATTCTTTCCCTACCCCTCTTCCTTCTCCTTCCCCTCTCCCTACTCCTCTCCTTTCACTCCTCCTCCTCCTCCTTTTCCCCTCTTCCTCCTTTCCCCCTTTTCACTCCTTCCATCAGTGTTGGCCCTCTCCCTCCTCCTCTCCTCTTTCTTTCCTCCTTCCCCCTCCCTTCCCGTAGTGTTTACCCTCTCCCTCCTCTCATTTCTCTCCTCGTTTCCTTTCCAGCTCCTCTCCTTCCCCTCTTCCTCCTCCTCTCATATCTCTCCTCCTTTCCTTTTCACCTCTCCTTCCCCCTCTTCCTCCTCCTCTCACTTCTCTCCTCCTTTCCTTTCCACCTCCTCTCCTTTCCCCTCTTTCCTCCTCTCATTTCTCTCCTCCTTTCCTTTCCACCCCTCTCCTTTCACTCTTCCTCCTCCTCTCATTTCTCTAATTTCCTTTCCCCCTCCTCCTCTCATTTCTCTCCTCGTTTCCTTTCCACCTCCTCTCCTTCCCCTCTTCCTCCTCCTCTCATTTCCTTTCCACCTCCTCTCCTTCCCCTCTTCCTCTCCTTTCCTTTCCACCTCCTCCTCCTTTCCCCTTCCTCCTCCTTCTCTTCTCCCCCTCCCCCCCGTCCCTTCCCGCAGTGTTTTATCTTCGCTCAGCGGGAAGGAGAGGGTGTGAGGGGATGGGAGGGGATGGGGGGGGGGGAGAGTCCCGACCGCTACTCTCTCGCCCCCATTAACTAAGACCGACCTTTCTGTTCCTCTAAATAATGGCTCGCGAACGGGGGGTTACCGCAGAGATGGAAAAGAAAACAACAAAAACAAAAAAAGAACTTATGTCAAATGTTTCCTCTCGTTGTGTCTGTGGTCCGCGTCACGCTAGGTCTCCCCTCCCCCTCCCCCTCCCCCCCACCCCTCCCCCGCCGCTGCTGCTCGAAAGACACTGCTGAAGGGTCTTGAGGAGGAGCTTGGCGTCTGCTGTCGATGGGGCGAAGGGGGGGGGGTGGGGGTGTGGCTTGGGTGTGAGGGATAGGGATGCTAGGTGGATGTGCTTGCTTTGCTGGGGAGAGGAAGGAATAGGAGGGAGAGGAAGGAAAGGAGGGATAGAGGATGGGGGAGAGGGGGAGGTGGAGAAAGGGGTGCTAGGTGGGATGCTTGTCCCCTGAGGAGAAGAGGGGAGGGGGAGGGGGAAAAGGGGTGATAGTTGGAAGTGCTTGCATTGCTGAAGACGAGGGATAGGGGTGAAGGGAGGGGAAGGGGAGGGGAAAAAAGGGATACTGCTGAAAAGACGAGGGATAGGGATGGAAAGGGAGGGGGAGGGGAGGGAGGGTACTAGGTGGGAGTGCTTGCTTTGCTTGTTTGCCTGTTTGCGGTCCGGCGCGTCAGGAAAGATGGTTGTGAGCGATGCGAGGAAGGAGAAATCGAACGCGGGAACTTCGTCGTGGTGTTCGCCCGCGCTCTGCTTTGGGGTCTGTGCTCTCGTCTTTCTCTTTCTCTCTATCTCTCTTTTTCTATTTTTCTCTCTCTTTCTATTCGGGCTTTTTCGCCCTCTCTTTCTCTCTCATTCTTTTCTCTTCTCTTTTCTTCTCTCTCTATCCTCATTTTTCTCTCTCTTTCTTTTTCTCTTTTTCTTCTCTTTCTCTTTTCTTTCTCTTTCTTCTTCATTCTTCATTTCTCTCTTCTCTCTTCTCTCTCCTCCTCTCTCTCTCTCTCTCTCTCCTCTCTCTCTATCTCTCTCTCCTCTCTCTCTCTCCTCTCTCTCTCTCTCTCTCTCTCCCCTCCCATCCCCTAATCTTTTCCCCCCATCCCTCTTCCCCTCATTCTCTCTATCATCATTACTTCCCTTACCCACACACTCCTCCTCTTTCCCCCTCCCTCCCTCCCTCCCCCCCCTTCCCCACACGATCCCCATTAGCAGCATTCCCAACAAAGTCACTTTCTGCGGCCGACGGAGGCGTGGCGCTCCATTAAGGTCGTTATTAGAAACTATGGGGCCGGCCGCAAGACTTCTCGCTCTCCTGCAGCAGATGTCGAGGATGGCTTACACTTCCCCCCCCCCTCCCCCATCCTCTCCTCCTAACATCCCCTCCTCCCCATCCTACGCAACCCGCAATCCCATCGTCCCTTCCTTCCCCTTCTTCCTCTTCCTATCCCAATCCCCAGCCCCCCTCCTTCCCCTCTTCCACTTCCTATCCCCATATCCTATCCCCCTATCCCTGCATCCCCCTCCCTATCCCCCTATCCCCTCCCATCTCCATCCCTCCCCATCCCCCCTTCCTCCCCTATCCTATCCCCACCCCCACCCCCCTCTCCCCCGTCTTCGAGATACCACCGGAATTCCCAGCGGCCGCCGTCTTCGTTGCAGGAAGACTAATAAGTGTGTGTTACAAGGGCTTGGGCGTGTTAGAAGTGTGTTACAGGGGTATAGGTGTATTTTAGGTGTGTTACAAGGGCATGGTTGTCATAAGTGTGTAATACAGTGTGTTACCTAAAGGGCATGGGCGTGTTATAAGTGTGTTACAGGGAAAAAGGTGTATTTTAGGTGTGTTACAAGGGCATGGGCGTGTCATAAGCGTGTTTCAAGTGTGTGTTACAAGGACAAAGACGTGTTATAAGTGCGTTACAGGAGCGTGGGCATATTTTAAGTGTGTGTTATATGGACATGGGTAGGTTGTAAGTGTGTTACAGGGATTAGGACATATCTTGAGCGTATGTTACATGGACGTACATACCTTCATATTATAAGTGTGTATTACAGGGGCAAAACACATAGCGTTAGGGGAGGGAGGAGAGAGGAGGAAGGAGGAAGGAGGGACAAGATAGGAGAGAGGAGGGGAGGGAGGAGGGAGAAAATGGGAGAAGATAGGAGAGAGGAGGGAGGAGAGGACGGAGAAGATAAGAGAGAGGAGGGAGAAAAATACGTGAGAGAAAGAGGGGGGAGGAAGTGGGAACTAGGAGATACGAGACAGGAAGGAGGGAGAAGATAAGAAGTGGGAAGATAGGAGGAAGGAGAAGATAGGAGAAAGGGAGAAGATAGAGAAGAAAGAATGGAGGAGGGGGGAGGGAGGGAGAAAATACGTGAGAAGGAAGGAGGGGGAGCTAGGAGATACGAGACAGGAAGGAGGGAGAAGATAAGAAAGAGGGAGAAGATAGGAGGAAGGAGAAGATAGGAAAAAGGAAGAAGATAGAAAAGAGGAGGGGGGAGGGAGGGAAGAAGGGCAGGGACCAGAAAGAGGGAGGAGGGAGGAAGGAGAAGATAGGAAAAAGTGAGAAGAGGAG